TGCAGGAAAATGTTGGAAGCTTCTCTCTCTGCAATATCTTTCCCTCCAATTTCCCCAACAGGTAAACTCCTATTCGCCCTTTAAAACCTACCTCATATGTCTCCTTCCCTTCCTCCCACCTGTCACCCTACATTATTGCTTGTTTCCTTTTTTTTTTTTTTTTTTTTTTTTTGAGCATTGTGTATTCTTTCTCCTAGGCAAGTGTTCTGAGCTGGGAAGAAGTCAGGGGACTCTTCACCCTCATTCCAAGTTCCCCAGGGTGCTTCATAAGTATTAGCTAAAGCCCACTACCTTGGCTCCAGGTGAGAAAACGGGTGTGAGTCTTGCCATTTCTTGGGCCTAGGACACTGCCCTGGGACCCTGGGTTGATTCCAGGAAGGCGGACAGACAGGTACCAGCCTCACCCAGAGCCAAGCCTCCTCCTGCACCCTCACAACATCCTCAGTCTCTTCATCTATTAAATGGGTAACGAACCATCAGACCCTGCCTACCTTACTGGGAAGCCAGGAGGACAAAGGGGAATAGGATGGGGAAGATTCTTCCAGGTTGTGGAAAGTAGGGATCTCAAGGTGTGGGTTGGACTCAGCTTTGTGACATTAGGACAAGTCCCCCAAATTCTTTGGGTCTCAGTGTCTCCTTCTGTAAAAACATGGTCACTAGACGGAGAATTACTAAAAGGCCTTCTCAACCTGGACCGTTACTGGGGGGAACCTCGGGGCTAGGCGCTGCGTTCCAGGCCTCCGACCGGTCGCGCCCCTCCCCCGCCGGCGAGGGCCGAGCGTCCGGGGTACTCACTGCGGCGCGCGCACCCGCCCCCGGAAGGCCTGGCGGGGGCCCCCGGCTGGCAGTCGGGATTCTAGTTTCCCGCCAAGGTCTGAGCGCCCCGAACTCATTCTGCACGCACTCGGGCGCGTGACTCCGCCTGACCCGGCAGCACACCCCCTCCCCCGCCGCCCACCCGCCCGCCGGCCGGCCGATTAGTCAGCAGTTGTTCTAGGCCTGGGTCCCTTCCCCCAGTCCTTTCGCCGGCCTTCGTTTCCCTCCAAGGCAGGCTCTTCAGAGACGGTCCCTGGAGTTAGCGGACGTACCCATTGCTAACTTAGCCTCGTGCGGACAATCACTCTGACTAGATACGAAGACCCGGTCGCCGGCCGCTGTGGCCTCTCCTGTGCTATTTTGACCCGCGAGGCACGTCCGACTCCCTTTAGAGCGGGCCAGACAAGAGCTGCGAGCGGAAAGGACGAGAAAACTGTGGTTCATTCCTGTTCCCCTCACCCCCGTGGCCTGGCCGGATGGTAGCGCCCGAGGTTGCGGACTTCGCGCCTGCGCAGTGCGGCGCCTAGAAGGAAAGCGAGAGGGAGACGGACGTTGAGAGAACGAGAAGGAAGGAGAGAAAATGGCGTCCACTGGTGAGTGTGGTGGAACTGCGGTCGCGTCGGCGACGGCCGGGACACCTAAACCGGGGGTCGCTCGTCTCTGGGGGTGGCCGGGACGACTGAGTGGAGTTGCTGAGAAGGGTGTGAGGTACCCGCTGCGGCCCGACGAGTTCGAGGGCCCGCATTCCCCTCCCCTCCCCCCACCAGGCAGACCGGTTCTGGAACCTTCCGGCGCGCGGGGGGCTCGCAGCGGCGGGGGCGCGCGGGGCCGGCCG